TACATGTGTGTAACAGGTGTCAGTGATGCAACACTCTGCAACACAACTACTCTGTGGTGCACTTCCTAGTCTAGATTTTATTCAAAAAGGCTGGATCCTAAACTTCTAATTATTTAACTTAAGGTAAGGGGAAAGGATATGTCCCAATTGTATAAGCACCGCTGCTAAAATCAACATGATCATGACCAGGCGGTAAAAGAAGCTGCATTTGTACGACATCTAAAACAGGTTTCTTTTAGACTCTTAAAGGGGACCTATCATGCAAAATGCACTTTTGTATGTCTTTTATACATGAATATGTGTCCCCGGTGTTCCAGGGAACTCACCAAGTGTCAGAAAACACAACCCTCTCTATTTTCCTCCATACCCAAATCTCTAAAAAAGGGGCTGCAACGGATCTGATAAAAACTGATCCAGATTTGAACACTGTCCTGACGTCAGGACAGTGGCGCTACGGCTATTGGGCCAACTCCACCAATCAGGAGGAGACAGCCACGGCCATTGCCGTTCGAAAGCGCTGGAGACGCTGTAGTACATATGCCAGGCCTGCAGATGGTACTGTTCTCACTGAATCTGCCCAGAGCTAGAAATTGTCAAATTGAGCAAAATGAGGCATGGCTAAAATGCATGATCTGTTTGGTATTTTGAAAAAAAAAAAGTATAAATATGCCTTATATAGGTATGGTCCTACACTATATTATTCAAATATAGCATGATAGGTCCACTTTAAGTTATTTTATCTGACAAATCTCTTTGAGAGTCAGAAAGCGTCAGAGCTCCTCGTGGAGAGAGATGACATCTGACCGCTCTGAGGGTTTTATATAATAGTGTGGTTGGAGTCCTTTCATAAAACACTGCAGCAATACTGTCCTATGAAAAAGGAAATTGCACACATATACATTTGGTCAATTCTTCATTTTTAATAACCTGCTTCACATACTTGGTAATCATATAATTTCCTGCTCTTCACTAACTCTTTATGCATTTAGTTCTGCCTCAGGCCACGTTCTCCATTCGAAGCTAGTTTCTCCTTCATGTCATTTCCTCCTCTGCTTCTTTCCCTCTCTGTGTCTATACTGTCCTCCTCCTGTCTGTCTCTCTCCACCTGTCTGTCTCTCACTTCTTTCTGTCTTTCAGTGTCGCTCATGTTCTCTTTCCTGTCCCCTCCAATCTCCTGCTGACAGGGCGGGCTGATCTGAGCAAACTATTCGGTAACACTTTATTTTGATAGTCCATAGTTAACACATGTCAACAGTGCATCAGTTGACATGTATCAGTTGACATTCAACAGCACCGTTCAAACCAACAAGTAACTAAGCATTAGTTGACGATCAACAAATAAGCAACTAAAGTTTAGTTGACTATTACATTACGCATTAGTTGATGATCAACAGATAAGCAACTTTAGAGTTTAGTTGACTATCTGTTGATCGTCAACTAATCTAGAGTTGACTATCAGTATACTTTTAGTAGGCATTCTCCACTAAGTGTTTGTCGGCATGTGTTAGGACTATCCAATTAAAGTGAAAAACAGTTGAGAACAGTAGAAAGTCTATAACCTATCAACAGAACACATACATTCATCCACTAATTCCAAGGGTCCTCCCCCTGGTTCACGGACGACCTCCGCCGCATGAAAACCTCCGGTCGACAGCTGGAGAAACTATGGAGGAAGCAGGCTCTCGCCGTCCACCTACTGGCCTTCAGAGAACACCAAAGTGCCTATGCTACTGCTCTAAAAAACGCCCGCTCTTCATACTACTCGTCAATAATAGACAACGGCAAAAGCAATCCTAGAACCTTATTCTCCACTATCAACCGCCTTCTCAACTCCTCCAACACAGGCCCCCCGGCTGCCTCTCCAGAACTCTGTAATAACTTCTCTGCTTTCTTTAAGACCAAGATCGCAGATATCAGAGCAACCATTACAGCCTCAACAGTAGCTCGGACCCCACCCACCTGCTCTCCCTTCATCAACGGCATCACCCTCTGCAGCTTCAACGAGGTGACGTCATCTGCACTGCTAGCCATCATAGGCAAATCGAAGCCTACCAGCTGCTCCCTCGACCCCATACCCACCCCGCTGCTAAAAACCTGTTCGCCAACCTTGGTTAATTTCCTGACAACACTCATCAACAAGTCACTACAGACTGGTGAGGTGCCTGTCCATTTCAAAACAGCAGTTGTCACCCCACTTTTGAAAAAAACAAATATCGACCGAGAACTCCTCTCCAACTACAGACCTATCTCCAACCTCCCGTTCCTTGCCAAAGTACTTGAGAAGGTCGTGGCCGCACAGCTCCAGTCTCATCTGTCTGACAATAAAATGTATGAGACCTTCCAATCAGGTTTCTACCCTGCACACAGCACAGAAACAGCCCTAATAAAAGTAGCCAACGACCTGCTGATGGCAGCCGACTCTGGGTCACCCAGCATCCTGGTCCTACTTGACCTGAGTGCAGCTTTCGACACAGTGGACCATACCATCCTCCTCCACCGCCTTGAGACCTACACCAGGGTGACGGACACGGCTCTGAAGTGGTTCTCCTGCTACCTCACCACCCGGAAGTACCACGTGGCTCTGGGGGGTTCCATGTCTGATGATACCGCAGTGACATGCGGGGTCCCACAGGGCTCAGTGCTGGGGCCGATCCTGTTTTTAATCTATCTATTACCTCTGGGTCATATCATCAGACAACATAACATCAACTTCCACTGCTATGCTGACGACACCCAGGTCTATATCAAAACACAACCCAATACCACCAATACTATCCAAACACTAAACACCTGCCTGGAAGACATCCGCTCCTGGATAACCACCAACTACCTCCAGCTCAACAGCAGCAAGACTGAGGCAATCCTGATAGGCACCACCGACCAGCTTGCCAAGGCCGCCAACATCAGCCCCTCCCTTGATGGTCAGCTCATTTGTCTCTCCTCCGTTGTCACCAACCTCGGTCTAAGGTTTGACCCCACTCTGTCTTTCCAAGCCCACATCAAACATATCACCAAGACCTCCTTCTTTCACCTGAAAAACATTTCCTGACTGAAGCCCTCACTCTCAACTGATGACACCAAAAAACTGGTTCATGCACTCGTCTTCTCAAGACTAGATTATTGCAATGCACTCCTCTCCGGTCTCCCAGCCAAATCCATCAACCGCCTGCAACTTGTCCAGAACAGTACAGCCAGAGTTCTCACCGGTACAAAAAGGTCCGCACACATAACCCCCATACTTGCACAACTACACTGGCTCCCAGTCCACTACAGGATCCAGTTTAAGGTTCTGCTCCTCACTTACAAAGCCCTGAATGGACAAAGCCCAAAATACCTCTGTGACCTCATCCGTACCCAGACATCTACCCGCTCTCTACGCTCCAGCCACGCTCCTCTTCTTTACATCCCCCGCACACGTCTCCGAACAATGGGAGATCGAGCCTTCTGCTCATTCGCCCCGCGCCTCTGGAACTCCCTCCCAGATCAGTTGAGATCTGCCCCTTCCACCGAGGTCTTAAAAACCGGCCTTAAGACCCTCTTCTTTCTGCAGGCCTTCCAATAAACTTCAAGCATGGTACACCTGCACATATGTAGGAATTTCCTAAAAAACAATGTATAGATAGAAGTGTGTGATGGTGTCTGTATCTACAGAGACCCTGCCCTCTGCCTGTATTTTCTCTTCTCCTTTTATTTTGCTGTGTTCAGGACGTTTATGGGCGTCAGCAAAGAGCCTTTGGCTCCAATGTGTGTGTCTAACCCCCAGCCAATTACCAGGGTGTGCTCCATCAGTAAACAACAGCAATTAGGCTACAGAAAGGTCCTAAACTGATCTGTGGTTACCATCCCGTATGTCCTTGATAAGTCTTACAAGTACACCATGTGTATATGTTCTTGCTAACCAGTAGGTCCACTCATAAGGAGAGCTGTTTTTTTAAGGTTTTCTCAGAACGATTCCTCCTCATACGCCAAACTTCCCTCTTGTATGTCTGCCATGCTCTCTCAATATTTTGAGTATGTAGTCCTGTTTGTGGATCAACATAATTCTGGCTGTGGTTGGCCCTGACATGCCTGTAGCCCTCTTGGGAAAGACTGGCATATGCTCTCCACTCATCACTCACAACAAGACTTTGAGGCTTGATATGCTTCTTGATGATGGGAACAAGGGTCTCCTTGTTTCTTCTCTTTACTAGGCGAAGAATGGGACGTCTGCTTGCAGCTTTGATCTCGAGTATACCAAAGACCCAAGATCTCTTTCTTTTCCAGGTGTTACCAAAGCGTCCTCTTCCATACTACCAAAAGACAGTGTGAACATTATTACAAACTAATCTCTTGACTTTATGTTTAATCAATCTATTGTTAGTCAGGTGTAATTACCTTTTCATTTAAATCTGTTTTAAATTCCTTTTAACACAGTAAACATGCTTACAAAATGATTTGCTGGAAATGGATAATCTTCTCAAGGTCTAACCCGAAGGTTATCTTTTTTCTCCTCGACAGTTCATGAATTTGTGCTTTTATTTTTGTCACTATGACCACATTAGGAACCACAAAATCTTGACTGAAATTGATTGAAAACAATTCTTGTGACACTGCAATGCAATTCAATTTAGTCTTGACTCTGGCTTTGTGTGAATATTTAGTTATTTATTCATAATGTATGTAATTTTTGAGTTAGGAACACCTGTTCCTGTTTTATTTGACTAATATATAAGATAAATACAGAAGCCTAATGCATTCACTTGAGGAAAAAAGGTTTTTCACAAGAACTTTTCCTGGAATTTTGAGATAATAATCTTGTTAATTAAGAAAAACATTATTTATGTAATTGACTTGCCCTAAATTACTTTTTTTCCAATATGCGTTTAAATAAGTAACACTTAAGCAACAATGAGAACATGTTTTAAGAACTCATTAATTTGTAAATTAATATCACATTTTCCTGAACTTTCTTATAAATACGTTTTGGAAAACTTCATGAAAATGCTTTTGTCAACGCCACGGTCATGCCACGCCCTCAAACGAGAATACCGCGGTGTGAGACTTCCTGTTCCTCTTTACAGCGATTCTTCGGCAGTTGGACACGTGTTTTCGTTGGATTCTCTTCAAATCATCTAAAACAAGTAAGCATACCACCTGAGTTATTAATTATTGCTTTTTAACTAGCAAGTGTTATTTACTTTTCTTGTATTCACTGTTTTGAACGGAACATCGACATGCCAGCGCCATTACTGCTGTTAAAGTTTCACTACACAGCCTCGCTCGGCCCCGCTCGGTATGGCTGGGCCTCGTTAGGACTGGCTCACTTTATGGCGCATTTCCATTACAGTTTAGGAACTGGGGCAGTATCTATAGTAACGCAGTGTAGGCGGAGCCGTGACGTGATCTTCAGAGGACCCTAGAAAAACAACACAGCCGTTAGCTGTTAGCACTCAGAGCTCACAGCTCCTCATATATGTTCAGAAACTAGACAAAAGTTAAACAAGTACAAACCACAGACTGCCTGTGTTATGGTGAATACAGTCGCTGCTTTATTTATGTCTGTATAGGCCGTTGTTGTGAGTGTGGACGGTCGGGGCATAACTGCGTTAGCTTAGCCAATCTCCATTTAGAAAACAAGCATTTTAAAAGGTTTTTCCCCTGCCGTCTGTCTGCAAACTTGACAAAGCATTAATTCATGGTTTTTACTAACCGGTATCAGTGTTGTTACTTCGGCATCATTTTGAAACGTAGTACTCAGCCCTGGCTGTTGTGCTCATGTAGTCTATTTTTTCGCGCAAATGGTGTTGGGCAAAGTTTGCATCAAGTGCCTACCGACACAATTATGTGGTTAAGTTAAGAGCACGTATTAAGAATCAACTCCGCAAACTGTTCCCCTGTGCCGCTCTAAGCGTTTGCCGGGCACCGTGATACAGCCGCGGGGCTCAGAGGCTCTGCTGCATGTTGTGCGGTAAAATACCTCGCTAAAGCTATTCCCTACTACTTTATAACCCAGCGGTTATGTAAGAGTAAGTCACTAATGCGCCGATTTGATATTTATTCTTTTGTATGTATTTCACCGTTTGTTTTACTGTGAGCAATTCATTATCTGTATTACTACAATCTTAGATGTGTACCCAATTTAAACTCAGTCTGCAGTTACAGCATCGAGTTGTTATTATACAATATGAAGTGCAACTAAAACTATATTTTTCATGCTTATGCAACGCTATAGATGCAAATCCATGTTTGAATCTGCAGGAGAGAACGTTAGCTCTCTTCAGCTAAGGTGCATTCAGGCGCAATTCAGTAAAATTGTGAATTGGGCGAAGATGGATTTATAACGTCAGCAAGATGTGTTCAATGTAGTCCAGTAAAATGCAGTCTTTAGCGAGAAATATCAATAAATACAGTTTTATTAAGGATATGTTTTACTACAACGTAAAATAGATATTAGACAGTATGCAAACGAGATAAAGGAGTGTATATTGAAGTAATTAGGATCCGCTGTGCAGAGAATCATCGAATTGTACTGGTATCTACCAATACTATCCTTAATAAATGCCATCCTTATAAATGTATATAAATATAATACCGTTTTAAATGATACTTATATTTTAATTATGTTTGATTCAATTAATTGAATTAAATATGTTTGAATTAATTCTACTGAAATGATTGTTACATTTTCATCATGTAACTATTTTGTTCTTTTATTTGCCTCCCCAGAAAACAGTCCCACCTCCTCTTGAAGACATTTAGCCTCCTGCTATCGACTTCAGGTTCACATTAGGTAAGCCCTTGAGTGTGTCAGACTAAAGTTGTTGTTTCACAGGTTAATTCAAGACGTGTTATGTTTACATACTAATATAATGAGCATCAGGTAAACGTACCCATTTCTATTTTTTGAATCACAGATGGGATGGAGTTGTAAACTATGCAGCACTAGTGTCACCACTCAAAGTGATATTTTAAAACATTATCGACTCCTTTGGACAGAAACGTGCCTTGCCCTGCATTCATGTAGACTGGCCTGCGCTCTCACTTATCAAGATAAAAGTTGAAATAATCGTCTGTTCTTTTTATTCTAGGACCCATGTGCCACTTTATATAAATCTCTGAGCATGAGGTGGGGTTAAAAATATGTAGTTGGACATTTTATGAACTATATCAATATCATGACTATTTGGTTCATTTTCTTGCAAACCAGCCTTTTTGTTGATGGCTTAAACCCCTTGTAATGCATGTGAATAGCACCTCTGTTACCGTCTGTTAACAGCTAATGTAAACTGTCTCGTTATGATTTCAAGACGGAAGTGATTTTTGTTGTTGAGGAAAACACATGGTGTGTCCTGATTTGTACTCAATTTAGTGTTTCATTTGTATACAGGGAACAGCAGAGGTCTAAGTGCAACAGGCTCGTGATGCACAGCATGAAGTTATACGTTGCCCACGAGCCAGATGCAGTTGGAATAACCATCAAGTAATAACCATGTATGTTAATGTGTTGTGCTTTTAAACAAACTGGAAATAATAACATTTTAATAAAATGTATTAACATATTCTTAAAATAAAAAAAGCTTTCTTTCTCTGATATCCTGCCTATAGTGTTTGTTTTACTGTGCTTTATAGCCTGGTATTGACTTCAGTTATCCAGTGTTTCTGATCAGTTGTGCATTCAATTAGTGGATGAATGTATGTGTTCTGTTGATAGGTTATAGACTTTCTACTGTTCTCAACTGTTTTTCACTTTGATTGGATAGTCCTAACACATGCCTACAAACGCTCAGTGGAGAACCTACTAAAAGTATACTGATAGTCAACTCTAGATTAGTTGACAATCAACAGATAGTCAACTAAACTCTAAAGTTGCTTATCTGTTGATCATCAACTAATTGTTAATGTAATAGTCAACTAAACTTTAGTTGCTTATCTGTTGATCATCAACTAATTGTTAATGTAATAGTCAACTAAACTTTAGTTGCTTATCTGTTGATCATCAACTAATCAACCCCTACCTCACCGACCTGATCCACCACTACACCCCTTCCCGCAGCCTTCGTTCATCAAAAGTGAACCTCCTCTCTATCCCCACACGAACCAAGCTCCGAACCTGGGGGGACAGAGCCTTCTCCATCGCTGCCCCCTCCCTCTGGAACTCCCTTCCACAACACATCAGAGACTGCACCGACCCCCCCCACTTTCAAAACACACCTCTTCAGATTGGCTTTTAATTTGTGAATTATGTTGTGTTGCTGTTTTAATGTTTTATTCTATTTTATCTTGTTTTATCACCACTGTAAAGCGTCTTTGAGCACCTGAAAAAGCGCTTTGAAATTAAATGTATTACTATTATTAATGCTTAATGTAATAATCAACTCAACTCTAAAGTTGCTTATCTGTTGATCATCAACTATGGTTAATGTCATCTTTAGTTGACATCTTGACTCTCAACAGATAGTCGACATGACCCTGTTGACTTTCAACTGACAGATTGATTTTGAGTAGTTGATTGTCAATTTTGAAGATGTTGACACAATCTACAGATAGTAAGGTTGAATATCGCTTAATAACCTGTTGCAAAAAACATGTTGACAGTCAACAGAGACTTTTTGTAAAATCTATAGATCAACACTTGAGATGTACCTTATATTCTACTGGCAGTTAGTTGAATGCATGTAACTTGTCTGTTGAAACAGTGTTGTTGAATGTCAACTGATGACTTATAGAGTGTTAACTATGGACTATCAAAATAAAGTGTTACCAACTATTCCTCCTCACATGCAAACATCGATTACTGACCAGCGGGAAAAAGAGAGACAGAGAGACAGAGATAGAGAGACAGAGAGACAGAGAGACAGAGAGATAGAGAGGCAGAGAGACAGAGAGACAGAGAGATAGAGAGACAGAGAGACAGAGAGACAGAGAGACAGAGAGACAGAGAGACAGAGAGATAGAGAGGCAGAGAGACAGAGAGACAGAGAGACAGAGAGACAGAGAGACAGAGAGACAGAGAGATAGAGAGGCAGAGAGACAGAGAGACAGAGAGACAGAGAGACAGAGAGATAGAGAGGCAGAGAGGCAGAGAGGCAGAGAGACAGAGAGGCAGAGAGATAGAGAGATAGAGAGACAGAGAGACAGAGAGACAGAGAGATAGAGAGGCAGAGAGACAGAGAGATAGAGAGGCAGAGAGATAGAGAGACAGAGAGACAGAGAGATAGAGAGATAGAGAGACAGAGAGACAGAGAGACAGAGAGACAGAGAGACAGAGAGATAGAGAGGCAGAGAGATAGAGAGGCAGAGAGGCAGAGAGACAGAGAGGCAGAGAGATAGAGAGATAGAGAGACAGAGAGACAGAGAGATAGAGAGGCAGAGAGACAGAGAGATAGAGAGGCAGAGAGATAGAGAGACAGAGAGATAGAGAGGCAGAGAGACAGAGAGATAGAGAGGCAGAGAGATAGAGAGGCAGAGAGACAGAGAGACAGAGAGACAGAGAGATAGAGAGACAGAGAGATAGAGAGACAGAGAGACAGAGACAGAGAGATAGAGAGACAGAGAGACAGAGAGACAGAGAGAAAGAGAGACAGAGAGAAGTGAGATGCTACTGGGAGTTGTTGCAAACACCAACAAAACAAGCCTTGTGAAAGCTTTGACCTCAATCCCTCAACAGGTGAGGACATGTCCATGCAGCACTCTGCTTCTAGAACAAAAACTCTGAGCATCATTTGTTTCCAGCAGCAGCTCACTACAGGAGAATACATTCTCCATACACACGACAAATGTATATTCGGAAGTGACATTTCATTGATCAAGCTATTCTCGTCATGATCCATGGCAGAAAGAACAATTGCACCTTGGGAATATGATTGCATTTTAAAGTTATGGCCGGCAGTTGTGTATAAATACAGATCTGCCGGACACGGAACAACATTATCATCTCATGTGAGTTGTGTTTTGTTTCACCTGATGAATGTTGTCTTTTTGGCTCTGGTTTGGACGCCATCAACTCTGATTCACATGACTGTTTTGTCCTCTGAATTTACATAAAATGGAAATGTGTCTTTGGCACTGGCAAACCAAACAACACTCACCGTATCAATCATACACAGCGCTACATACAGTTCACACACATCCAGTCTCAAAATGAGTATTTGGCAGTCATGATTAAAAGAGTTAGTTGTTATTCCACTGGCGTGTAGTCCACTGGAATAACAATGCACTCATCAGTTTAATATAATGGACAATAAAGTAATCTAAATCTAGACTCCTGAGGGGGGGGGGGGGGGGGGGGAGACTATAGTTGGAGTCATCTCAGTGTAACTGACCTGTTTATCTGTAGAGATATTTTTGTGTCTATTGATAATTCAAAACAGGTGTTTTTAGTTAGAGTGTTTCTGGCGGGTTCAACCTCTTTTCGGGCTAGATTTGGATAAATCTAAATTATTCTGGGAAGTATTTAAGTGGATAAAGCTGTAGTTTGTCCTGGTATGGTTCGAAACAGCTAAACATAGAGAGAGGAACATGTCAATTTAACACAGGGTGTCTTCCAACAGCCATAAAAACGATTATACTAGTATTCTAATTTTTTATTTTAAATATTATGTGCATGCCCTTTCTAATAGTGTTGCATTTGTATTATCTTCACTTTTGCTGTAACAATGTAAATGTCCCCTATGTGGAACGAATAAAGGTATTCTGATTGTGATTATTAAAATGCAGTCGGCTGAAAAATACCAGGATGTCCAACTGCATTTCACAATCATCTTCGAAACATATGGTTCACTGAGGTAGCGATGGAGCACAGCCAGCCCGATGTGATGGATGTATGACCAACAGCAGCAACGTTCAAGGCACAGTGTTATGAGATAGGAGTACTGTATGTTACGCATTTATGTAACAGTGCTTACTTTGTAAGGCCAGCTGCAATATATACAAGTCAAGAGAAAAAGCACCTCAACAAATGTATTAACAGGCTGTCTTCACCGTCAGACTCTACTATATAACAACCACTTTTCTGTGCTTTATAAAGCGTAACTTTCACACTAATAAATTGGACACTCACATAACATGGTGGACAGTCAGTATAGTATACTAAATGTGAAATCCCTTGTTTCAAAATCCTCATATTGGACTACAGACCTGCATGACCTTTAATATAAAACGTGGGTGTGGTACTCTAAATGCTAAACAAAACTCATCACAGCCATGAACACAAGTGAGAGAATGGGAGGTTATGGTACACCTTTGGATTGTTATATGAATTTATTTAATGAAACCCTGTTCAGCAATCTCCTTGTGGAATTAAACGTGTTGCTCCTTAAAAATCAACCCCTTCTAAATTCCTGCTAAGCCTTGACTCAATCCACACCAACACTAATGCTCAGTCCGACACCGAGTAGGTTAAGCACCTCATTTCCCACCAGCACTTTGCAACGAAAGGTCAAGCAATCATACGACAATTTGTCATTTTTATCTGTGAGCTGAAACCTTTCTCAGAGCTCAGGTCCGTCTCTGCGCCATCAAAATGTCACCAATCATCTGTCGGTTCAGGCTCGTCATGTTTGACCTGCACAGCTGTGTTTGAATTGTGACTTCCTCTGTGAGCCGAGCGTTAGGAGGAAGTGATTCGCTCTGCTGTAATGAACTGCTTCTCAGTAATTGAAGACATGCCTGTTGAGTCCACGGGCTTTTTGAATTGCTGAGTGCGGAGAATTAATGGAGAGGCTAATGACTCTCCTGAATCAGAGTGGAGCTTCAGTGGCTGCAGGTTCAAAGGTTAATGGACTATTTCCGGTTTTAGGGCAAAAAGGCAAATACTTGTAATATGATAACCAGAGGAGAGGCCAGATTTAAGAAGGTGTTGAACTTTCTCTTATATCCTCCATTCACGTAATCCCTCTTTCTTTGTCTCTAAAGTCGCCACCTGCAAACACAGTTAAATGTTCCTCAAAGGTGTTAAATAGCAGCTGTGATTAAGCAGGTCATTTATTCACACTCATGTATGTTCTGCCAACACTAATGAAATGCTTAATATTCTATTTCTGTCACGGTCAAATTAATTAAAACCCTGAGCCGACTAAAGAGAAGAAATCTCACACTACATCCTGAGTTTCTTTATGTAATGTATAAATACTGAAATGAAAGCTGACACTGTTGACATGCAGGAGTTCAACGTCTTAATCGTGATTAAATAAATGTGGTTTTCTGTCATTAAAAACTCATTTGGTGATCTTTAAATGAACCTCCGTCTCTTGGAGAAATACATTGTGCCAAGTTGCTGAGCATGTGGCTGTAAAACTCTGACGAACACTGTCGCTCTGCCTGGGGAGCTTTTGTATTCTGGCATGTTTTAAGTAAGTGTTACTTGAAGTAAACGGTTATTTTGTGTGTTTTTTGTAAATTATTGAGTGTTCTTGCATTTTAATGTGTGAGTTTTTTTTATACCTCGGGACTGTGGGAAACAGTATTTCGATCTTTATGTGTGTACAAACATATTTTGAGGTTGACAATAAAGTTGACTTTGACTTT